GACGTATGTCATTTCACAATTTATGAATGACACATGTCAATTAATAATCGACGTGAATTGAAAAATGACGCAGAACAGTAACACTGGATTTGCTGCACGGCAGAACAAATTTTGTGATATTTATCATCGCATGATCCAATATCGATAATTCGAAATTATTTGGCTTACGTAATAACGTACAAAAAATAACAAGAAAAAAAATATATGATCATAAGAGTTTGCACTCACCCGGGCAAATGATTGACACGTGTTCATTTTTGCTAAATAATGTATACGTACTTAATTTGATCACCAGAGGTCTAGACACTTTGCGGTAACTAAGAATGATTTGTGATTAAAAGAAATTCTGTGGTTTCTGTGAAACCCAGAAAATCACCTGTCCATAAATTACTTAAAACAGATTATTCTTTGTATAGTTTTATCGGTATTTTATCGAAAGTTCATTTTCATTTAGTCGACCACATAGGGTTAGGGTTAATATTTGATCAATTGCAGATATTTTTAGGTAATGATTGTCGTGAAGTATAGTAAATATAGACACTTCATACGTATCCTGATCGGTTTACGTATTATGATGAACATTTTGGTAATTTCATCTTCGGAATAATTCGGAAAAATACAAACCCCAATGTTGATGGCAATGATTACGTATGTGTAAATCATCTTTTAATTTTTATGAACTACACTAGGTTTCAGGTAGAACATCCCGAGAATGCCCCGAATTTGTAGATCCTTACACGAACTTTTCAATTGATTTTTATCCGTTTTACAGTACTTTTCTCAGAAACTCGGGTAGATCATAAACAGATATAACAAAGTGATGGCAAAAAAAATTCGCGATCAGGTGATTGTGACCCAATCACGATCAATAAACTTAACATTAATAACACAGTAAATATTTAATTACGTAAATTTTGTATAAAATTTATATGCTGATATTATGAAGTTTCTAACTTTATCATGCAATCAAAATATAATATCAGCATACAAAATTTATTTACAAAATTTACGCAATGAAGTTTTCACCTTGCCTTATAACATATTCAGTTAATCTCGTTAATTCACAATTTTCATATTGCATTCTACCCGATGTTGTAATAAACAATTACTACATTGACAAAAACCCGTTTGGTATGCAAAAAAAAACTCAAAATAGCGATTAAGGATTATAGTGTAGGTAGAAGTAATTAGTTTGTATATTTTGTTTATTATACATGATGCAGAGAACTTTTTTGGAAAATTGAAAATATACGAATAATGTTAATTGAATTATATGACTTATTAATATTATAGGTGCGTTTAAGATACGATAGAAAAAAAGTTTATATACATGAATTCATGACATATAGTAAAATTTTCTATTAGAATAATGGTTGCATAATGTAAGAATGTGTAATTGTTAGAAATTTAAGATGTAGATTCAGACGTAAAATTGAATATAGAATTAAAATTAGATAAGTGAGATTTTGTAAATAAATGAAAATAAATACTAGTTAAAATTAATGATCCTCTTACTTATCTGGCAACGACATTTAACAGCAGTTATCCCAAACCACAAATTCTAAAATTTTAATTAAATTTTATTTTTTTTCGTTTGATGAAAATTTATCTGTTTCATTGGGTTTGTTTTTGTCAATAAAAGATGGTTGACTGTATTTTGATTTTTTATAGTCATATTGATTTTCATTGGTTTCATTAAGCGTCAATTGTCAACAGTTTTGCCAGGCATGTAATTTTCGTCAAATATCTTTAGTACCCACCTTCTTCAATTAGTACCCGAGTACTATAGTCAGTGATTTACGGGTAGTTGTAGAACTAGCCGCTCATATGTTACATTTAGCTTACATCTTATTTATATTATTTTATGTATAGTATATATGGTTAATTATAAATGTAAACTAAAAAATTACATGGAAGTGAAGCGACGGGTAACATCTAGTTTTTTTTATATTTATTTTACATTTAAAATATGTATAAAAATAAAATTCCAAAATGACATTATCCTTGGATTCACAAATGACACATAGATTCCAATTGACGGAAATTAACAAACGACACATAAAATTCACTCGAAATAATAATTTTAAAATTATCAATAAGTTACAAACTAGTAAAAATAAAACAAATTAAATCTGACAACAGTTTAACTATCTCATATGTAAACTAATAGAATGTGTGCAAAATATTATAATATTACGGCACGTGAGTTTTTTACCCAAAGCAGTGCACCTATATACCGTGGGTCAGTTTTTAAATTCTTCATATTTATATTTGCAACAATATTATACCATTCAGGAATAAATTCAGCGTAAAATGCCCATGATCCAAATAAGTGAACTGGGGTTGTATTATCAGATGTACCATCTACTCTTGTTGCAACTGTCTTATTATCAATATTTATTATATACATCATTGTGTTAGCAAGTTTAACCATATCATCAAAGTTAACATTTAATTTATCTTTTCGCTGCCATGCGCGGTACATGCCCCAAATATCATAAAGTGCATGAATACTAACTTCTTCTGCAATGGTAACATTAACATTGAAAGTATAAGTCCACCGGTATGCGTCTAAGCCGTTCTTAGTTTTAACTGGAATAAAGTTTCTGACCATCCAATCAATAGAAACTTGTACAATATTTAAATATTTATTAATCAAAGATTCATTATTTCCAAGAATTTCATGACATTCCGCCATTCTTAAAAATCCATTTGTCATCATTTGCTGTCGGTTCCAAGGCATTGATGTATTTGCATCCATTTCACCAAGTTTATCCCATGCAGGAGAACTTGGATTATAAATTGAATCATTCTCGCGAATGAAGTAATTTAAATAATATGTTTTAATAGTCTTATCCATTTCAGTTACGTATGTAAGAGCACGTTCTTTATATGTTGCACCATACTTATGGGGATCATTGTCTGTAACATTTTCGTTCCAGAGACAAGGTGTTTTAAGGATATGATAAGCAGTGTATGCTATATGCCCAGCTGTATCAAGACCTTCGGAGCCAGCATAACCAGAGAGTGTTCCATTATCAGGTTTTGTACACCAGACAAGCTCTCTTTTCCCTGTCCATATAATTCGTCCATTCACGGGATCATTTCGAAGTGACAAAAAAATATCCGAATAAGTTATCATTCTATCAAGTATTTGAGGGTTTTGAGTAACTTCATACATTAAACCTAAAGCTTCTACATCTTGACCAGGTTGCTTATCCGCTATTTTATTATTCAGCGCAGTTGTGGGTAATCTGTTAGGTTGTTCAAGAAAACCAATGAACAAATCAATTTCATTCTGGGTAACGGGGCCATCTAAGCCGTCGAGTGACATACTTTTATTACTAGGAAGTATAAATGGTGGTCTGGGTGGACATTTCTGTGCATAGATATTTCGATAAGAATAAATTAAAGTAAATAATGTTATTATTATTATATAATTCATTTTCGGTAATTATTATTTTCTTGACAGGATTTTCAACACTTTTAAGTAAATAAATTTATTACGGAGCGAAATAAGATGTTTAAATATTTTTTTAAACTATAAAAACCGAGAATGAGCGCCCCGAAAATAAGCACTCCTTGCCACGCACTATATCAATTTTGAACTTGGACATGAACATGAAAGTCTTGAATATGTCATATCAGGTAAAGGATTATACCTTTGACATTAACGGTAATGATACAATATTTATATGTTGATAGGTTCAGAATATGAATAGGCAAAATAACTTTGTAAATGTAAGTAATATTAAGTCATTATTGATTATTATTAGTGATGGGCCACGCTCAGGATCCGTGCGGGATTTTTAATGATTATTTAGATATCATCTGGCTTGCATTAGATATCATCTGGCCTGCATTAAATATAAACCGGCCTGCATTAACTTTAATGGTCAATTTCTAATTAGTAATTGATGTACAGTACATAAAATTTAATATGAATCGATATGCAGAACTTTTAATTTGTCTATCATTCTATATATATGCGAGTACTTGATTTAAACTTTTTTGTGTTGGAAGTTCTTACTTACTATTCCTTGTTATAATAGTAAAAAAAACTCTACTATATTCCGCGGATCCCGCGCGGGATTTTTAAAAAACCACGATTTGCCTATTACTATTATGTATGAGAGATGGTTTATGTTCAACTTTTTTTGATGTTCGCTATGCTGATTTTTTAAAATCCTTTTTTAGTATAAGTAATGGTTTTCATTTATCCAAATCTAGTAGGAGTTAAGATAATACTGACACGGTTTATTCACATGCCATCATGCTGGTGTTGGAAAAATATGAGCGTGTGAAAATTACTTTTAAAACGCTGATTGTCATCGGTTATGTCCGCTAGTATTGGTTATGGTTAATAACCGCGACTAAATAGTTATAACCGTAACTGAACCCATCCTTATTCTGGAGCATAATATTAGATAATCTTTCTTAGTAATTAAAAACGGAAAATAAATGTTTAATAACTTTCAATTATTATCATTATCGTTGATGAGATGTTTCTTGACAAAAAAAATTTAATTTTTTTATAATGGGTAGCTTGTCATCGAATTGCAAGATAAGATAACTTTATGGATCGCATGCTTAGTTTGGCTTTTGTGAACTGTAATGGTTTACTGTGTTGTTCTAATTAGATCAGGATTCTCTTGGTTAAGTTTATGATTGTTAAGTGGCGAACAGGTATGAATATTAACAAATTAGTGCTAAAGTAAAGTTAAGGTGTAGAGTTCCAATCCGGATAAATCCATCATATCCAAATTTATCTGGATATCCATTTACTATTAATATCCGGATAATCCAATAGATATCCAGATAATTATCCGGATAATCCAACAGATATCCGGATAATTATCCGGATATCAATAGTAACCAGATATTCAATATATTCGGATAATGGATATCCAATGGATAAATGGATAAACGGATAATGGATTGGAACTCTATAAAGGTGTATTTTCATATGTGAATCAGATCGATCGATAGGACAGAGGGAGAAAATGTAATGCAGTGTATTTAAAGGTGATGTTTTTAGTAAAAAAAAATTATATCTTACTCTTTGCTATCACTTGCCTTGCAGGAAGGTTATTCTATCGTTCCTCCAATCCTACCCATGGTGCAGTGACACATAATAAGTTTAAATATTAGACGTTTAACTTGTGTGACAAGGTGTAATGCCAGGCAGTAGCAGTGAAAGGACCTGGTTTTGGTTTATTTTTTTATTTTTGTAACTATGAAGCTTCGCGACTGTTGTAGTAGTACAAGAATTTTGTTTTTATAGTGCAGTAGCAGTGCAAGGACTTTGGTAATAAGGTCTCACAGCTGCGGTAGTAGTGTAACACTTGGTTTTGTAACAATTAGGCTGAAGTAGTAGTACGAGAACCTTGGTAATTAGGCTTCGCGGCTGCAACAACCTTGTTTTAGGCTCCATGGCTACCGTAGTAGTGCATGAGCCTTTGCTAAATGGGTTGCAAACTCTGTGGCTGAGATAACAGTGCATTGTATTTAAAAAAACCAGTTTACTCCTAATCACCATAACTCAATCCTGTATATACCTGAGTACTTACATGCGCATGCATAAATTTTACTGATACTGATCGTACTGGTGTTAATATAAGTATATAGAAATAATTAAGAAGAAATTAGTATGTTATAATTGTTATTTGTTTTTGTTTGGAAATTGTCATTATAATAAGAAATTAAATGTTGAAAATTTGAATTATTAGCTTATATAAAATTAATGCAATTTTGAAATCTGCAACTTTGTTGTGTATTAGTTAATCATATTATTATATTAGAAGAAGTTAAGAAGTTTATATTCAATTAAGAATGAATATAAATTATTATTTGAAACATTGAAGTTTTTAAGAACAATAGGTTATAAATTTATAGCTATTGCTTGTTAAATCTATTGAATAATTATATTTTGTGCTTGCAGTTTAAACTAGAAGCTGTTACTAAATAAGTAAGTTAAAACAATTCTAATTTATAATTATGCTTAAAGAATAAATAAGAGTAATTTAATGAATTTGCATATCTTAACATTTTATAATCAGAATTATACAATTTTTATATAATATAATTCCTTTTATCAAAAAGAATTAAATAGTATAAAAATTGTTTGAATTGGATTAGAGAGTTATGAGATATTATAGTTTCTATAAAAATAAATTTTTAAAGAAATTTAATGTTAAGAAAAGTATTATGATAAATTAGAGATATATTATAATTTTATAATTCAATTTTAATAATTTTATACTATTTAATACTTTTAGAAAAAGGAATTAAATAATATAATAAAAAATTATTTAATTCAGATTGTAATATTAAATACTATTTTATTTTTTATTATATAATTATAAAATTATATAATATAAATATATTTAGATATCAAAAACAAGTAAATAGAGATAGACATATAGAAAAGTTTAGAAAAAGACTTGGGCATATAAAAATTATACAAATGTAGTGTTTGCTTAGATATATTAGTAATTATAAAACAAAAGTAATAAATTATATAAATAGCAAAAAATAATAAAAGTTATAGAAGAAGTATGGTAACTTAGTAAAGTAGATAAGTTGTTAACTATTTAAGTAGCAAGTTATAAGTTCAAAATCCTACTGACAGTAAAATTTGTATTTTTACTTGTATTATAGTAACTGTTTCTGATAATTGAGTTAAGAAATCTATAATTATATTTACAACAGCATGACTGGCAGGTTATAGAACATCTGTTTAACTAGTTATATATAGAAATGCAACTTAGTATTATGCAATACAAATATAAGATAAGCTCTTATAAGTATATAAATTTGTAAAAATTAAGAAACAACTTATTTTAAAAGACCCAAGCAAAAAAGTAGCATAAATATTTGATAATACTATTGTAAAGACTAAAACTAAAAAATAAATACTAATATAAAGAAGCCAGATAAACAAGAACCTTAGATGAGAGGTACTACTAATTAAACTACTAGAATCAAATTAGAAAAAAAAATTATTAAGTCAACCTAATATATCAAAAGACAGATTACAGACTATTTAACTATCTGTATTGAAGTTTAAAGACAAAAGCAGAAGTATACTAAAGTATTAGAAATATGTTGTAAAGTAGTACTGAATTTTAAATAAACTTTATAAGATTATAATAGTTTAATAACTAACCCTAATCTAGAGTATTGTTTCAGTTAATATTATATATTTTTTACTATTCAAAAATTTTTTACTATATTTAATATTCAAATGCCCAAGTATCCAAGAGTATTTAAACTATGTTTAAGCTTTAATAATTAATAAATTTGTTTAAAAAATATATAATTATATATTTTTTTAGATTCTGAATATTTTTTAATTAAAAAAGTATAAAGATTAACTTAACAAAATTGTAACTAATTTTAATTAATATCTTTGTCTAAAAATGTTCAAAAATATCTAAATTCATGTTCAAAGCTGTCTATTAATAATACTGATTTTAGGTATAATAATATCAAATTAGCTGTAAAATGAATATACAGAAGCCTTCAGGAGGTTTATCTTAAAAATAAAATAGTTTTAAGGTTGGAACAAAAATCTGAAAGTTAATATAAGATGCAGGTTTAGAGAATTTAAAATAAAATACTTAAGCAGAATGTTATATATAGCAATTGATAAAAAACTTTTAGATAAACTTTTTAAATAGATAATATAGAAAAGTTATATGTTGTGAGCTGCAAAACTGTAATTCTAAAAGAAGACAATTGATATAGTATAGTAACAAATTAATAGCTATATTAATCATCTGCTTAAAACAGATTTATTAGTATTATATACTTTATTTACTTTATACTATATATTTTATGCATTATGTTAATAATAGATATTAGTATAATAAAAAGATTAGTAAAATATAATATATAATTATAATAATTAGTATAAACTATATAATCAGTATTATTGATATAAACATTATAATTAGTATAAAAAGATAATAAGTATAAATACTATATTATAAATAAAATGTATAATATGCTTTATGTAAATAAAAAGATATAATAAAAACTTTAAGCTCTACAAAAAAGATATTGAATATTTATAATTTAAAATAAAATTTGTTCTAAATAATATTATTTTATTATTATTATAATAATATCAATAATCAAGGTGTGGTGACTTAGTAAAGTAGATAAGTTATTAATTCTTCAAATAGTAGATTAAGTGTTCAAATTTTATCAATATTGAAAATTTGAATAATCACCTATGTAATGTTCAAATTATAGTAACTGTTTATAACAATTGTGTTAAGATATCTGTAATAGCAGTTGCACTAGCATAATTGACAGATTATAGAATAT